AGGATTTCCTGGCGTACGCGTCCGCAGTTCGAACTTTCCCTTTCGCCAGCCGAAACGTATCTGGGAACTCGTCGCGTCGGCGAGTCGGCGGCACAGTTCCCTGACCAAAAAAGAGCCGAAGGATTCGGATACGGAGGAGCTTCGGCAGCGGCATCCCGACTGCCCTCGTCCCTCCATCCTTCGTCTCTCTGGCTCGTTTTGCACCAGGCCCGCGCTTAATTAGAGTGTTTGCTGTTGCGGCTGCCGATGATGTTGCCGCCGTTACTACCGCTAAGCACCTGCTCGAAAGCGGGCTCGAAAGTGAAAGTTACACAAGTTGGCCAGGTTATATAATACATTGTCGTCGTACCCCCCGACGAGCCCAGAAGCCCAAGCCACGAGCACTTTAAACGCAAGTGCGTGTGAGATTTCAGAACATGCCATTTGCCACCGTCGCTGTTTTCCCGACTTGATTGCCGCCACTTTGCCGGTTAGCTGCTTCGGGGAAATCAAGATTTTCACGCAGGGCTCCCCTGATATGCATAGTTATATTTCCATAAAAAACCTATAACTATGGCGATGGTGTTTAATTGAATGGAGCCCGAGACTTTATTGGGGTTTGACCTTAGTCAACTCTGTTCCTGATTAAGCCTTTCCTGCATCAATCCATTTCCATGCGTACTCTACATGTTCCTCTCCATTTCCCTGGGGAGAGCCTAATTATTTCGTGTGCTGGGGTTTTCCGCGACCATTAATCCGCTTTTTGCAGAGTGAAACCCGGGGGAATCGACACGTGTTGGCGGCGGGCCTGTGACCCGGGATCCGGGATGCACCCTGATGGATGGAAACTCCAGCCCAGTAGGAAGTCAAAGACGGTTTCTCGTATATATATATATTTGTTTTGTTTTTTTGTTTGCTTTTTCGGTTTGAACAATAATTATTATTTTTGTAATCATTTATTATTCATCGTCATAATCATAATAATTTTCTATACAAATACATTCAATAACAACAATTTATTTTTTATTATTTTCGATTTTTTCCGTTTGGTATTACGTTTACGTCATTGTTTAATTATTTTACAATTACCATAATTATGCCAGTTGCCATTATTATTAGATAGTATTACTATTTTCCTCCTCGTCCGCTTCGGAAATCGTTTTCATTACTTTAATTACTTTAGATAGTTTGGCTGGGGGAATTACTTTCATTTCGTTTTAGAGTTTAGCTTAAGGACTATGAAATTTCGTTTTTCGTGTTCTATTTTTGGGTTTTCTTCGTTTTTTTTTATAATTTGTTGATTTCTCTATGTTCTCTTTATCCTTACGCTTTGTATTTTCTTTTAATAACAAGTACAGAAGATTTCAGTTTAGTTTTTAAAGTTTTTAGCTGTCTCAAGTGGGATTTAGATTTAGATTTTACGTTTCTTTATCAGAGTTCTCTAAATTACTGTTCTGGGGAGGGGCTTGTCATTGTTGGTTTCGATTTCGGTTTTCAGTTTTCGGTTTTTCATTATGCAAACTTTTCATTCGGGAAATACTATGGTTAGAGTACTCAATTTACGGAGACTTCTTGCTTTGCTTGCTAGCTGTGTGGCTTCCATTAAATTAGTCTATGTTTTCATTTAATTAAATTAAACTTGACTTGACGCTATGAATTTCGTTATATTAATTGGTTTTTCTTTATTCGCCGTTGTTCGGTTTTCCGTGCATGCTCGCATGATATCAAATACAACACATTTTAACGCTTCCTTTGCTTTTATATTTTGTCACTTTGTCCTGGCACACAATTATGTAATTTCATTTGGCCTAAAAAGAATTTCGTGTTTCCAATTTTGTTTCGGTTTTTAAAAATTCCTTTTTTTACATATTTTAAATAGTTTTTTTTTTGGTTTTTGTAAAAAATAATTGCTAGCGTACGCTGCAGCGGAGTTTTTTATGTTTTTTTGGTTTTTGGTTTTTAGTTTTTCGATTTTGTTTTGGTTTTTGTTTGTGTGGCAGCGGCTAATCAATTACAAAAATTATTGTATAATTCGTGCTAATTGGTTATTGATTCGGATTTGGATTTGAATTTGAATCGATTGTGTGTGTGGATCGCATGAGATGGAGCTGATGCGCTGTCTGTGCCCATGCCCACGCCCATGCAAAGTCGATGGATTGGATCTGGTGCTATGATTTAACCCACGTTACGTACACAATTCAACTAGTTTCGCTATGCACAAGGGAATCGCCTCCTCCCGGGACGAACTGTCCCCGCCGGAGGGGCCGTTAAGATCCTCGTTCTCCGGTGCCTAAAATTTATTTCGTACATACGCTAATGCCCGGGATCAGACTTGGATTTGGATTTGAACTTGGATTTGGACTTGGACGTGCATCGGAATGCCCATGCCCTCTGCCCTCCTCCGCAGCCGCATCCGCACCCGTGTCCGCGTCCGCGAGCCTACTCCAGTGTCCTTCTCTATTTATTGTTTACATTTAAATAAATTAACATTTAATTTATTATTATTTAGGCATCTATTCATGTTAACTATATTATATATATCAAAAAGTTTTACAAAAGTACACAATAATTCATAACAATTTGCATTCTATATGCGCGCAATTTGTGCCAGCGGCTGACTCTGCTCTGCTCTGTTCCTTTGCTGCTTTGTTTCTGTTTCTGTTTCTGTTTCTTTTGCGTTTCCGTTACCGTTTCCGTTACCGTTAGCGCTACCTTTACCGCTACCGTTTCCTGTTCCTTCCCGCCATTGAAATGTCTGATAACGGTGTCGTTCTGCCCCGCCTTTCTCCTGCTTTCACGCTCCTTGTTTTGCTTAGAAAAGGTTATGCATTCGCCCCAATGTACAGTTATCCCGCTGACGAGCCGAGACCAGTGAAAAGCCTGGCCACACTAACTCATACACTTGGTATGTCCATGGAAGGAGTTTCCCACAACAAAGAGGGGAAACTTTGGGGAATCATAAGAGCGAGAAGTGGAATCAGTAAGTAGATGGATCGGTAATAGATCATAGGTGAGAGGGGAGAGGTGATAGTTGATAGTTGATAGTTGAGAGGACTGTGAAGATGGAGTCGGGGCGAATTGCTCATACGTAATCTGTATTTACAAAGATTTATTGATATGGGGGCTAACCAGAGAGAAATGGAGGGTTCGTAATGAAGGCTGCTGCTGCTGCTCCTGCTCGTTATACCGCTAACGTTACTACTACAACATCTAACAAAATCCGTATCCTGCTTTCTCTGCTCTCTCTGCTATCTCCGCTATCTCCTCCTAAAGTAATTTCGTCAGTTTCTTTTAATGCAAATTTGTTGTGGAAATTCGTGTTGGAAACGTTCCGATCTACCAACGGAAAAGCATTCCTAATAGACTTAAGTCCTGGTAACTCCGACACTGCCTGCAGTGGGTTATTCACCGTTCGATAAGAGACCTCAGAGAAAAGGATCGAACAAATATGGAAGTGTGGAATCAGAGAGGTGAGATTGGATGGAGTGAGGCTGGTGGATAGGAGGTGAATAGGTGATGGAAACTAACCGTAACTGAACCTTTAGGAGTGCTCAAAGAAGGTGGCTTCTATATCTGTGAGAGTGTGGGCGAGTGTGCTCTATCAGAGGGTTCTCCCAAATTGTTTAGTTCTTACTTTAATAGTTAATTAGTTAATACCAAATACGACTAATTATTTCAATATTTCTTAATAATATACTTGTTTTGTTTTCTCCGTTTTGGTTTGGTTTCTTTTGGTTTTTCTCATAGTTCTCATTTTCATGTTCATTTTCATTTTCATGTTCATTTTCATTTTCATTTTTGCTGCAAGTTATGTACGATAAGTTGTTAAGACAATATATATTATATAAATATATATATTTCATATATATAATTAATATATATATACGCTACATAGAGTTCACTTTATTACAAAAAGTATTATTATTCATGTTAGTATTTATATAGTAGGTATATTGTTGTTCTTGTTCTGACCACGCCTCTCGCACTGCACTTCCTTGACTATATCTATCGTACATATATGCGCACATACATGTTCTATATGCTGAATCCGAATCCGAATCCGAATCCCCTTCGCCATGTCGGTCGATGGATCTTAAAGATACGTTTTTACTGTGCGCTTTGCATACTCGTCCCCTTTTCATTTTGGCTCTTTTGGTTTCCTTGGATTATACAAATGTTTACGTTTCCTCTTAGTTTTCTTTTACGTTTAACTAAATAAAGACGTTTTAGACACTTTAGCGGCTTCTTTTGGCTTTCCTTCCGTTCCCGTAATTGTTTTAATTGTTAATTAATCGCTCCCACCTCGACTATATAGTACTTCACATACATATGCGAATATGTATTGGTTTAAACTAGTTAAGTAAAGTTCACGTTTTCTTTTTCTTTGAAAGGTGGTTGATACGCGGCCTATACTTCGATTTCCGATTTCTTATTTCCGATTTCCCCACTGAAATCGCCTCTTAATTTCCTACGGCATTCCCATCCTGACCTGGGGTTTCCTCCGCCTTCCCCTAATCGCTTCTGCCGTTTCAAATTTTTAGTCTAGTAAATTTGGATTTTGTTTTCGTCTCTTTTGTTTTTGTTTATCGCTAACCTAAAGTTCGTATTTGTGTTCGCCAGTAATTAAATTAATAACTATTTAAGTTTTCCGTCGGTATCCCTTACCCTTTTACACGTTAGTTGTATGCGTTTTGTTAATGTTTCTTTATACTTCCGTTATCGTTTATCTAAAAAACCTATTCTTGTGGCAGTTGCTTTTTGTTTAATTAAATATTCATATTCTTGTCTAGTTGTAATAAAATATGCTATTTTGGTTTTGTTTCAATAGAGATTTATAATTAATTCATGCTTGATTTTATTTCGTTTGAAAGAGGACCATAAATATTTAAGTGGTTTCTGTTTTCCGTTTCGTTTAATTCGTATTCCGTGGATTCTGTACTACTGCGTGTCTCCACGCTCTCTCTGGCCACCGCCCCCTCTACTACTACGCCTATGCATCGATTCTGATTTCTGATTTCCGATTTTCGATTTTCGATTTCCCATTTAGCTATTATTAGTACTTCGTATCGCTTCTCCTCTAGAGGAGTCGAGGGAGTCGTCATGTCCTGCCACTGGCCGCGTACTGTCCGCAGGCACTATAAGGCGCCGCTGCTCAGGCAGCGCCACCATCTCCGCCACCAATCGTTGATGTTGTAGTTGTAGTAGTAGAAGTAGCGATAGTTCCTAGTCCTAATGCATCCCGCCCCCCGGCTCCACTGGATGCCGGCTCTCGGCGACCGGCAGTCCTTAAAGCTAGCCGAACGGCTTGACCTGGACTCGCCTTTGAACTTACTCCGACTACTAAAGTATCGAACTTTGCTGCAGGTCAGCTTGTAAGTATGCCAGGATCTGGACCACAGCCAGACTCTAGAGGGCACCTCTCCATCGTGGGCTGGCCTTTCCTTGCGGACTGGTGGCGTCCGTTGGCCACTGGCCCTGCTCTTCGCCAGCTCCTGCTCGTGGCAGTTGGCCTCGCAGGTGACCGCCTGGCGACTGCGACCCCGGTGCCCGCCACATCTGCTGCTCCACTGGCAGCTCCACCGTTGCCGGGCCGCTCCACAGCTGCTGAGCAGGCCGAGCAGGGCACTCAGCCAGACCAGCAGCTGCGTGGGTGGTTTGGCCACCGCCTCCGTTCCGGAGGCATAGTACGGAATGGTGCAGCGAGTGGTCGCGGCGGGCACTACGGCACAATCGCCGGAGAGCGATGCCTGCGGCATCTCGCCCTCCTCGTCGTAGTAGAAGATCCCGTCGTGGCGGGCGTAGTACGGCAGGCGTTCGAGCAGCGTTTCAACGGCATCTGGGTCGCTCCCTGTCTGGCTGACGTTCCTCAAGGCCAGAGCCACGCTCTTGGCCCGGGCGTGCTCTCCCGGATGTGAGCTCAGCGAGAGGGTGATGTTGTGCACACGGCGGGTGGAGTTGCCTGGAGGATCGTCCTCCTCTGTCCGGGGCTGGCTGAAGTCCTGACAAACGGTGCAGATTCCTGACGCCGGTCCATTGCAGTAGCTGTAGCAGCAGTCGTTGGGGCCGTAGCTCGACTTCTCCAGCTGCGCCCCTGTCTCGGGTATGTTTTGATCTGGCGGGGAGTGGAGTATGAAAGCTGATGCTTATGCAGTCGGGGTGCCCCCTGGTAAACACTCACCTAGGCAGAGGAATGTCGGCTCGCCGGCATATTGGGTGGGCAGCGCAGGGGCGCGATCGGCGGGCAGCAGGTAGGGGCACTTTTGTTCCACGGTTTGGCAGACGCTCAAGCACGGCCGGATACGGCGGCGCTTACGGAACTCTGTCTTGCGTGTTGATCTAGTGGGGCAAAACATATATTAATAAGTTAGTAAGACTCAACCCTAAATCGCCTGATTAACTCTAACAAACTCACCTCTTCTGTAGTTTTGATATCACTGGATCCGTGGCTCTGGGATCCGAATTATTGGCAGTCGATATGAAATTATTGGATTGTTGTTCGGCCTCAGCCTCCGTATCCGTATCCGTCTCCGTCTCCGTCTCCGTTTCCCTGTTCCTGTCGCTGTCTCTATTCCTATCCGCATCCATTTCGACCTCGGAGTTCGGTCCTGGCTGTGGCTCGCCGTCTGGCAGAACCTCCTCTCCGCCATGCCGGGCCCTAGACAGGCCAACAACATCGTAGAATGTCTGAGCCAGGTCCCGGCCAATCGCCTCCTCCACGCTGCGGTCAATGTCCTTGTTGGCTCTCGAGTTCGAGTTCGAGTTCGCGTTCGCATTCGAGCTCTTGTCATGCTTCTGATTAATCTGACGCTCGTTCATGTTATTGCCGTTATTTGATTTATTGTTATTGCTGATTAATTTCAGAGATTTATGCTTGATTCCGTCCGCCCGTTCCGCCGTCGCCGTAGCAGAAGCCGTCGCCACCGCCATAGCCATCGCCTCCGTGCCAGCTGCACTTCTCGACGAGCGCTTGCTCTTGCCCTGCCCTGCCTGTCCATCGTCCTTCGGCTTCGGCGACACGTCCTTTGGCTCGGCGAAATATGGCACTAGTGTGCTGCAGACCCAGCGACGATATGCTTCCTGCAAAACAAGCAATTGAAAAGGCTCATCAATTATGCAGGTCCCTGGGCCACATTTAAATTATTTCGATCGAAATGGGTTCGCTCTGTGTTGTGAAAGTTTAATTGAAATTATTGAGTTACGACTCAATTAGGGCTCAATAGTCTGCCAGTGCATCTATATAATATCTCATCTACGTAATATCCCAACTTAAGGGGTGGACTTGACTCTGTATCCATCTGATGGCTTATTAGTATTCTTGTCAGTCTCCCCTCCAGTCTTTCCTGGAAATCCCATCAAACATCCCCTGTCCAGAAATTCATGGTTCATATTGCTTGTTGGCTTTTCGAAATGGGGAATATCTTTACTCTGGGTCCATTATTAGCCATGTTGTGGGTAAAATACTTACACGAAAAGTTGTTGGTTGAGCTGGTTTTGTCCTCACTTTTCGTCAAAAGACTTAAGAAAGAATTTTAATCATAACTTAATCAATTATGGTCGGAATGTGGAATGTCATATCTCGTTGAGATCGGAATTTAATTTCTAAAAAATCTGTGTCCCCACCTAAAAATGTCAAATTTGATGAATTTTTCGCAAAAATTTATGATGTAACCCCTTTCCGAAAATGCGAAATGCGATTTGCCCTAACCTCTTCCCAAAAGTCAGTATATTGATCATAACTCAGCGAATACTGGTCGGAATGTGGAATGTCATATCTCGTTGAGATCGGAACTTAATTTATAATAATTCTGTGTCCCCACCTAAAAATGTCAAATTTTATGAATTTTTCGCAAAATTTGATGATGGTACCCCTTATCGAAAATGCAAAAATCGACCAAAAAATTAACTTTCCCAAATCCACCAGACAAGGACACAAATGATCAGTTTTGGTCTTTAGCTGCACAAAACAATCGTTCCTTTCGTTGTACGTCCTCTTTTGACTATTTTATAGGCTATAAAGTTTATAATATAAACCAAGTATGGGAAATATTCTGATTTATCGTCAAATAAACCAGTATTTTGCCCATAACATTGTCAAAAATGGTCGGAATAGGGAAAGTCATATATCAATCAGTTTGTAATTAAATTTCCAACATAACTGTATTCACACCTTGAGATGTAAATTTTTTAGCAAAAAATGGATGATGTAACCCCTTACCAAAAAAGTGAAAATTGACACAAAAATGGATTCTTCGAAATCTGCCAAAAAGTGATTGGGGTTCATAGCATAGGTCGTTAGCCGCACAAAAAGGGTAAGATCTTTACCTTTGGTCCATTTTAAGTCGAGTTTTAACTTTGACTTCTAGGGAAATTAGTGAAATTTCAGCCCTATGATTCTTTCACTGTTCAGCCAAAATAATTTTAAATAGTTTCCTTTTTCATTCCGCTGATCCTTTAACAGTATTCGAATGCCAGAGTTCCGGATGAATGGCGATGAGCACATTGCGTATATATTCGTAATAGGAATCTGCTGAATCAATCCGAAACTCGCATAAAAGTGCTCACAAAGCTCTGTATTTATACTCTACGTTTGCATAAACAGTTATGGAAATTCCTGTGGAATTCAGCTTCGAATGGCTGCCTTTGCCATGGAATACACACTCCACATATTAATTTTGAATCCGGCCATCTATCTGCCCATCCACTTTCCCCCAGCTCCATTTTCCGACAGCTTTTCATTTGGCAGCCAATTTGTTGGAAGGTAGGAAAAATATTTTTGCTTATTCTTTGCTGCTGTTGATTTTTGCTGTTTGTTGCCGGGGCTCTTGTTGTGATTTTCTATTCTGTCAGAACTATTGCAGTAGTTTTTCGGAATTTCCCGCCCGCCTGCCCTTCGCCCGTCGCCCATAACTATTGGTCAAAGGCAAATACCAAACAAACAACTCTTCGCAGGCCTGCAGAGAAATTCGGTTCAGGTGAATTTTTGCTATTTGCCAACATTTCTGTGGCTATCAATGTGTCTGCACTGCCATTACATTTGCCTGCAAGGACGCCAGTGGAATTTCAGCTTTCATAGCTCTACAGATCTCCCCTCCGAGGGGAGGAACAAAAGTCATTGAATTTTTGTTTATGCATCCTCGAGTACACACACCCTTATACTGGTCACCGGTGGGCAGGCAAAGGAGCAGAAAATCTGCTCAATATTTATCCAGATTCCTGATTGCCCCGAGTTAAGGTGCAGCTAAGTGCATTGATTGTCTAAATCAATTATCGAATTTCGAGTGCGTGTTCGTACTCGTGTTCATGGGCGTAGAACAAAGCACTGCTGGGCAAAGGCCGACTGCAAACACAGCGCAGCACTAATTGAATTAACCTCTCCGCCCCTCATTTGGGCCGTAATGCGCCTTGGCTCGGATATTACCTACCATGATAACCGCAAAAGCGTGCACCGCATTCATAAATCACGTATACGCACTGCTGCCCTGCGGCCGACTGCAGCTGGCAAGGCTAATTGTTTGTGTTTGCCGCCGCTGTCACTGCGGGCGATGGTGTTTGCGGCCAGAAAAATCTAAAATTATCCCACCGCAACAGCATGTGGCATTATCAGAGGTGGCCAGACGACTTTAAAGCCCCAAAAAAGAACTTATTTCTGCTAAATCGGCGCAGGGACTCAATCATCCGAGCAGTCAGTTCTCCCCGAACACCCGAAATGGCCGAAATAGTGGTGAGTAGTTCATCAAGAACAGCACTCATTTTGTTTCGGCCATGAAAGACAACGACCCCATAAACTCAGCGAGTGTCTGACATTAAACCACAAATACTCGCACTCAAATAAATATCCCCACGAATGTCTACACTGGGAGAATAACTGCCGAAGAACTAATGGTCGCGGTTTGAGTTTTAGAAGGAGATGATTTTAAGTTTTCCCAATGAAAAGATTCGAGCATGCTTAATGTTTTGTTTCAGGAGATATCATATTTAATTGCTATCTCTATGCCAAGGACTTAGTTCCCTCTGTACACCGACATGCACTTTCATTAAGATATGAGGGCTGCTGTTGCCAAGGCAACTTTGGGGTCTTTTGGCCTGCGTAGGCAGGTCGTCATCTCATCTCCCCCCCGCCGCGCTAGATTATTATTTAATTACAAAAAAGTATTTCCCATTAATAGGACACCGCCGTGTAGTGTTCCTCGCCGCGAAACCAGTCTTGCAGCGGAGCCGTGCGGCACGTGGAGGATAACTTGAGCCGGTCCTGTCCCACCTGCTGTCCCACGTATGCCGTCTCGCATGCGCCTGCACTCTGCACTAAATGAATTCCGACGCCAAAATAAAAAGTCTCAAAAGGCGAACTCAATTAGAGGGTGCAGGTGCAAAGTTAATTGGAGCCGGAGCCTGTGCAGCGGGATGGGGCCTCAGCCGGGGCCACAGCTGTCACGCGGAGGAGCTGCAAAAATCAATCCGAGCTGAAGAAGTGGATTTAAACTCATCCCCGGCAGCTCGACGGAATCCATTTAAGCTTGCCTTCATTTAAATGCGGGGCGCAAAAGTCATTCCGCACGCAAAATCCCGATTTTCGTCCTTTTCGGCCATTACGCCGACATGACACCATCAGCATCAGCATCAGCATGAACATGGGCGTGCAGCCTGCAGCGAAAAGGGGGTGGGAGAAGGGGCAGGGCGCAGGATACAGAGCACAGGACGCAGGACACACATGCGGGCAGTAAATAAGCCGGAGTTATGCCTGCCCATCGATGTGTGACCTTCGCGCCTCGTCCTTCGCTTCCTGTCACCCAGATTGGCCGGATGGAAGTGGGCACGGAGGATGTGGCGCAGAGGGATCGGAATTGCGGCTTAAAATTTTGCAAACCCAATATGCGATAATGAGCCGCAGTTGTGTGCGGATCCGATGAGCAGGGCTTAATTGGAAATTCAGATTAGGCGATGAAATTCTAATTTCATATATTTGCCGAGTGCGTTTGGCCAGCGTTTGCCGGTTTTACAGCCGGCCATATCAATGAGAATAACGTTTATGGTCGCCCCGAAAAATATTGCAACTTCTTCGCTCCCTCGTAAACATTAATGGCTAACCTAAGGGTTAAGGGCCGTCGGGTAGGGACAGGGGCAGGAGCAGGGGCAAGGGGCAAGGGTCACAGGGGCCATAGAAAAGCGACAACAAAGGAGAGAGCAACCTTTGCCACTGACCATCAGTCAGTCAATGACCGTTTCATATGGCAAATAATTGAATTTCTGTTCGTCTTTTCAAAAGCTGAAAGAAGGCAAGAAAGTTCTCTTTATATTTGCCAAACGGAGCAGACATTGCGTGTGGGTTGATTTACGAGTTTTCAAATGGCTGCCGTTGCTATTGCCACTGCCGTTGCCATTGCCATTGCCGTAGTCGGGTTTTACTATCATAATTTCATAAGCCGTTGAACCAAAGAAATAACGCAAACATTGCCAGGCACATGAGTAATAAAAAAATAATAAATATATAAATAAACCACAGGGCGCAACCCAAACAACATGGCCGAAATGATCTGAGTTTTTATTAAGGCTGGCTTGGCTGAGAGGCTGGCTGATTTGCTTATCGATCTCTCAGCCCAAACTTAAAATAAGCAAACATCGGTTAATGATGTTGTTCAGAGTTAAGAAAGAACTCCGATTGACTTTTTTTTACTCAAAAAATAGCTCACAGTATACTGTTGTTATTTCAGCTTAAGGAAAACAAAATAGTTTTCCCCGCCTGAGCATCGGAACGTGTTGGCTTGTCGGTTTCATTATTTTTGTTTCGAATAAAGCAAACTTGTTATTTCGGTTGGTCAATAGAGCTCAATTATGGCCATTGAAAAAACAAAAAGTGTCGAGCGAAAGAAACCTCTTTGCGACGACCAGCGAAATGGGAACAACTTTGTTTGCCCTTGCATATTGTTTGCGTTATCGATTCCCCACCACTCGCCCCAAGTCAATCCACAGTTCGATTGGCCCGGTTGAGTGTATCAAAGTTTATGCTCCTGCATTGGCCTTCAAATTCATTCGCAAACTGGCTGAGACATAAATATTTTATGGCTTTCTAAGCGCACTCC